ATTTTTGATTATTAATAATGAGTTATAGTAAGAATTAATTATAGTAGGAATAGTTATCAAGTTGATCGTATAGTGTTTCTCATTACAACATTTTCCTCTTACATATTTTTGAACCTTTTTTTTTTTTATTTTCTAATACATTTGGATATTTAAAGAATTTTTCTTTTTATAAATTAATTTTTATGAAATGTTTTGGTTAGTTTTTAAGGATTTTGGATTTTCTATTATTTGATAAAAATCGTATTTAAATAGATTTGTAGATTATAAGGATTTTTACTTTTCATTTTTAATAGATTTGTATTTTTAATTATTATTACTATTTTTCTTTATCAACATCCTTTCGTATCGCCCTCGTAGTTTCTCGTAGTTATAAGGAGAACAACCAAACTATTTATAGAAATGAGGTTGCGCTTCGCCTGTCGCACATGAATTTCCCAGTGTTTTTTATTGTATATTTACGTTTTACAACATGGTAGGGGGAAATTATTAACGGGTACTTTTTCAGTTTGGCCATTTTGTTCCAAATAGCTGAAAGCCTTCAAATGCTGGCGAGCAATTTGTCAGCTCATTTCGCTTTACGGATCGCATTCGGCTCCTGCTCCCTGCTCCATGTTGGCCACATAAGTTATGATGACATTCAAGTGCTGTCAACGCGCAGCACAGAAATTCAGCTCGGGCTGTCGTAAGTTTGCCGAAGATTTATTTGGGGCCTGTTGCAATAGTTTTACGGTTTTTCTTTTCTTCTCGGCGACTACTGCACCTGCCAGACGACAGCGCCTGGGTCTGGGTCTGTGAGCCTAAGAAATTGAGGTCGTTTCATCTGCTGCGGCAATTTATTAACCTACTCACGCGACATTTGTCGAAATTTCTGCAGATCCCCCTCTCTTCACCTCTCTCTCTCCTACCTCAAGAGGCAGCTCTTGTTCGGCTTTTGGCTGGATTCGAAAAGTAAATAATTTGATTTTTCATTGAGTTATGCGATTTCTTCGATTTTCCCACGATTTTTAATGCGCATACTCAACGCACATCGAATTTCCCAGGGCATTTAAAAAATGCCATGAAATGCGTCATTAAAATGCTTTCAATTAACTGACAAAAGTGAAGCAAATGAAAGTCGACTCGCAGATACCCTCTAGGCAAGTCTGACGCAAAGGCAGATCTTGTTAGCTTGATTTATTTTTTTCTTTCATAAAAACCTGGAGTTGTACTTATACGAGCTTTGTGAAAGTTTGAGGTTTAATAAAACACAGCCTTATAAAAAAGTAAATTACATTTTTTTTGGCATTTATTCTAAGATCTATCTATTTTATGCATGTCACATAGTTGCTTACAGGCTCAATGTACCCCATTGGCGCACTTTATTGCTGCAGGGTATTGAGTGGAAAATTAAGGAAAATAAGTTTTGTGCTTGAGTGCGCTCTTGACCATCAAATGAGGCGGCTAATTGAAACGGTTATTAAGCAATTAACATTTATAAAATGTGTCCAAAAATCTTCATTTCTTGATTGCAGTCAATATGTAAAAGTTGAGCAACAAAAAATTGTGATATAACTGCAAAATAAACGGCAAACGGCAACTGCAAAAAGTTGCAAATAATAAAATGATAAATAACAATAAAAAAAAGTGCCTTCAATCAACAATTGTGAGTGACAGCAACAACAAATGAAAGTCCTCTGCGCGGGTGTCGCACATTGTGAAAGCGAGTGCGCGGAGAGCCTCTCGCTCTGTGTGTGAAAGTTTTCACTACAAACAGTTCGGCAATCGGATCTATAGAAAATCGCTAAACACAGTTAAACATATCCCTAAAAAATATAATAGAATAAACCTGTACTAAAATGGGCGCCCATAGCTCAAAGGAGAAATTGTCGCGCTCGTATTCCGAGCGCTACATTCACAGCCAAATGATCGAACGTGAGCGATTCGGCAGCTTTGGCAAGCGTGCGAAGAGCGTGACAAAAGGTAAGTGTTGCGGTCACTTCAACTGCAAAGATTTTGCTTATTCATTAAGTTATTAAGCTTTACGCAAGCACTGATTGCGAATTTTAAGCGAAATTCACACGGTCTTAATGTCTGGGAATGTTACGCAAATTAATCATTTATGTCTTATACAAATGTGCCAAGTTAAATCTCCTACGATCTGCTAAGAAATATACACATATAGTATAACTAATTACTGCAGATAGAATATTATAACTAATCGGACTGTTATATAGTTGCCATGGGAACGTGCGGTCAAAACCGAAGTTATTATGTGGAATAAAAACCCTTGTATGGGCAAGGTAAAAATATCACTCAAGGATATTCCCACTGTATCAGAAAATAACTTATCTATCTGAGTTTTAGTTAAACTAAGCGCACATAATTTAGTTTATATATAAGTTAATCTCGAGATCAAGCCTAGAGCCTTGAAACTAGGTAAAACCTCCAAAGAGAAACTATAAAATTTAAAATATACTGTATATATAAAATAAATACAGTATAAATTATACTAACGTATAATTATACTATCCAAATTCTATTCTGTTTTCCGTGATATTTTAACAGAACTCAACATTTAAGAGCTTCACTTTTCTGATATATCTGAAAAAATGTAAAGCATATGTGTAAAAGGGTGTTAAGTCGTCGGCGTGCCGAAGATATTCGTTTTCTCGCTGCATAGTAAAATATATAAAAATAGATTTTAAGGAATAGTTTTACAGAAGTGTCTTCGAAAAGTCGTATTTATATTGAGATCTGACTTTTTTTTAACAATCATGTATTTATTATTATTATTTTATTATATAATTTATTATTACGATGAGTCCAACTTCTGTCAAGCCCAAGGAGCCTCCATCAGCTAAAATGTTTGCGCAGAAACAAGAATATTTATTAGCAGAGGCTGTTTACTTCTTCCTTCTTCTTCTTCTTCCTTAACTAGCATATGAAATCTATGAAAGTCTTTACCTAAGATACTTGATCTAATATCAAAAAATATTTGTATTCCTATTGCTCCAGCTCTTTTATTTAGCTTTAGCTTTTTAAAGCGTAGTTATATTCTGAAATTTAAAAATAAAATATAACTTTAAGCAAATCCAATTAAGCTTTGTGGTTCCAGCGGCAAGTCACTTCCGCGTGTAGCTTAGTTTTATAATAAATTGTGGTTAGCTAAAAAAAATCATGTGTATATATTACATATATATATATATCCCATCTCCGGTAAAACCGAAATAATATTTAGCATTCAACTTTGTCGTTTTGAAAAGCTATCAAAAACGAAAACGAGGAGGAAGAACTATTCCTGTGCGGACTGTGTGGCCACAATTTTTGATAAGCCTCAAAGGGATTATGCGACTTTAGTGCGTCGGTTAAAGGGGGGGGTTTGCGGTGTGCGGGTTATGCCCAATTTGCGAACTGATAAAAGTTGCTGCCAACCAGACACAGGCACACAGAAGCCAACCTCGAGCCATGTGCAACTCTGCTCCGTGCACCCGTGCACGTTCGAATCTGAATTCGAGTCCGAGTCCGAGTCCGAGTCCAGTGCAATTAGCCGACAGCTAAAAATAAAATTTATTAGATATCATGCAGCTGTGCAAACCGCTTTTGTTGTTGCTGTTGTTGTTGTTGTTGCTGTTGTTGTTGTTGTTGCAGCTCCCTTGTTGCAACACGCAGACATCGTTTAACACGTCGCTGCAACAGCAAATGATATATGCGGCTCCATAACAAGTGCGGCAAACAAAATTGACTAGATGCCATTCTGTTCTTTGAGCAAATTCAATTGAAGTGAACATTTTATTAAGTTTTTGTTTTTAATTCTAAAATTTTTAAGCATTCTTTTTATACAAATTATGTCAAGACAGTAAAGAGCAGCTATTATGAATTTAATTAAATATTATTTTAGATTATTTTGTTAACATTTTTAAGTTCGTAAGTATCTAAAACATTTAAAGCCATATATTCTATTTTCTTGAGTTATTAAGCTGTGAAAAGGGTTGCCTCTGCTGATATTAGAAATATTTGTATTTTGATTAGTTTAAAATTTTTAATTTTTTCTTCTAATATATTAAATACCATTAATAGTTAAACCATTAATAGTTAAAAAAATAAATAAAACTAGATAGAACAACTGTATACAATTTAAAAGCAAAGTTTTTTAATTATTGTATAAATATATTTGAATTTTTAAATATTTCTATTGTTCAGATAACTTAAAAATAGAAAGTTCTTCATGTAAGCTACATTTTTGATAGATTATTCCTATTGCAGCTATATAATAAAGTGGTCCGATTCAACTGATTTCGATATATGTATATACTTTTCGCACCACTAAGAGGCAGCTGTACCAAATTTTATTAAGAGAACTTCAACCAGAGCTGAGTTCACATAGTCAAAAAGAAATACATACATATATCCCTCTTGAGGTTAAGATGTCGTCATACACATTTGATCGAATGAAGAGTACCTCTACAAAAAGATTTCAAGTTGTGAACCACTTAAAACATTTATATGATGACATCTCATGTTGACAAATCTCCCCCTCTCTATGTCTGGGTATTATAATCCTCTGTGTACGCTATGTTTGCGCTAATAAAGCGCCCCCTGGCGATAGCTGCATGCACTCGCATAATATAATATAATTTTTCACCCTTTTTTCTCACACATTGCCCTCGAATATGGGATGAAAGAAGATAAATGGAGACGCGCAGAGCAAATATACTTCAATTATGTGCAAGTGCTTTGTTTTAATCGACAAACATTGAAATGCAAATAGAGGGGTTACCTACCCCGCCCACCCTTCTTCTTCGAGGGAACGTTTAACGTTGTGCAAAGTGCAAGGCGGTCTCTCTTTGGGTGTATTCAAATGTTTTAAATGGAAATGTTGTGCACAGCGTCAAAGCACGACGTGTTCACGCATAAATTATGCAAGACATTTTCGAGATACGTTTATCGATTACATGCAAATATGCGTGAAAATATCACAGGTTTTCTCACACATATCGCCAAACATCTTTCGTCTCTTGCAGGTTCGGCCAAAAAGCGGGATGTACGCAATTTGAGCATATCACCCACGGATCTGGGACCGCCGCCAAAGACCCAACAGACAGTCAAGGGACAATCGACGAGGAATAAGTCCCTGACGCCAACGCCTATAACTATACGTAAGTTTAAAAATATTTTAAATTAAATATTATTGGATGTTATATTTGGGATAAAATGTATCGAAATCTCGATTGGAATATATCTTTGTAATATTAATCTTTAACATTACTGAGTGCTGACACAGAGCTGCATTCTAAGCATAGCATCTATCGATAGTATCGATTTATAATCGATAAAGAACCGACTTTTGTAAGCAATAGATCTTTTCGGGTCGACTAAGTAGTGTACGGATCCTAGCTGATGGATACTAAGTTTTAGGGTTCGAGCTCATAAAACAAATATATTTTCGAAATGTTCCTTATATATAGCTGAAGCTGATTAATAAACTTGATGTATGTCTTAAAAATCACATGTGGGCGTGCCTAGGAATCGTATTACTCTAATCATTTCCAAACTAAATCTATTTATAAATATGAAATAATTCTTATCAAGTCTTTGCACGTTTTAAAAAGTGAAGTCATTTAACTGCTGACAGCTGCAAAGATTTCTCTCGTTCAGAGTTCAACAAAAACTGAAAATGAAAAGAAATAAAAACGTTAATATGACTGACATCAGCTCGCGGCTTTGCGCAATTTGTATATATATAGAGTCCACTCCCCAAAAATTATCAAATTCCGTTGAAATATCTTTTACTCAAACAAACCAAACGCATCAGTTGCCATTGACACATTCGCAAGTCAACTTTGATGGGGGTCTGTTGAGCTGTATCTGTAGCTGACTTTATGTATCTCTATCTGTAGCTGTATCTGCGCTTCTCGTACTCCTGCAGCACAGCCGAGACGATGTCGCACTCTGGGCACTGGATGAGTCAGAGTTGGCGCAGTTGGCAGTGAGTCAACGCGTTTGGCCAATTCGTTTTGGCTGCTGCAAATGCTGCTTCGGACCATTTCGCAAACAGATTTCATCTCAAAAACAATTGTTAGCCCAGTTTTTGGGCCATGCTGCTGCTGCGGCGATTCAACGCAGCGGGAGATCTAGGCTACTTTAGCCACGCCCACGAAATGGGCGCAGCTTGTGCAAATTCATTGAGGTCATGACCCAAGACACAAGTTGAATATCATCTCAATCACCTGAGCGCAATGATTGCGCAATTTATTTGCCGTTTCTCTAGCCTGATGGCCAAGGAAGGGCAAAGAAGAACAGAAGAGAAATTATAGTTGTAGTGCGACTTTTTTTTTTTTTTTTGTGTGTGTGTGAGGTAGGCCGAGAGTGAATACCCCTACTGTGAGAATCACAAAAGTTTCACTTTGATATTACGAAGATTGATTATAAATAGTTGGGTAAATTGTTTTTTATAGTTTCAAATTGATTCTCCAAGAAAACAAGCTATGCCCTTGCAGACATATATATATAAATATTTGTAGTACTTTTATTACAATACATGAAAATTGTTGCCATATTTTGATGCCAAATTGATCTAGAGGTCACACCATGAACAAAAAGCCAAACTTTATGAAAATTGGTTGAGTTTTGACCGAGTTATGGGGGTGGAAAATACCGGATGTACCCCGGCCTTGCCCGTAGCACCTTTAAAATAAATTCTCTCAAAGATCTTTGAAAATGAGTCTTTATTACCCTTTGACAGCCATTTGATATAGTGAACCGATCTGCACGATTTCCACATATGAACATATGTATAAATATATGAAATAATAGAAGGGAAGGAAAGGAAAAAAAAAGACAATAAATGTGCACGGGAATGAATATGTTTACATGTCTGTTGATCAGGAATATATAATATATAAAAATATATATTTATGTTATTGGGTCGGAGACGTTTCCTAAGCGTTCCACATTTCTCGAAGAAAGTATAAGGTTATTAAATATACATATATAGTCATATGTGTGTATATGTATTGCCTCTCTAGTCGGTTAATATTTTATATATATAATGCTCCGATTTTGATTTCGTTTCGGACTTTCATACTTCAAGTTCCTCAAGTTCTACAACCATTCAAAGTTGTTCCAAATACAGAAAGCAGACAAACATACATACACACATATGTATATGTACACTGTCCATATTTGCCATTAAGCATTTATTTCACACTGTCCGCATATATACATATGTCTTAATTCAATTGGAAACCTTTTAAAACGCTTGCTTCATTTATCAATTTTCATATTTCAATTTACAATCAGGCCTTGCATAATACATAATTACATTATCTCGTCAGCTATATTTGGCTTCTCATATGAAATGAACTTTCGAGTGCTTTGCTTTTCAAATTTATAAATCAAATTTTGCAGCTGATATGAAAAACATACACATGTACAAATACAGACACACGCACGCACACACACACACACACACTAGTCAAATCCAACTATTTGTGGCCTCGAACTATCCAGTTTTAAGCTCTTCTGCCGGCAACTGTTTCAGCTTTTGTGTTGATCATATAAGAAGCATCGGTGGTTCAGTGGTAGAATGCTCGCCTGCCACGCGGGCGGCCCGGGTTCGATTCCCGGCCGATGCAAAATACATATTTTGCTTTCTTTCAAGTTGATTCCCTTCCTTTTTTTGCGCTGTTGTGCCTGCGCAAGTTCGCATAAATTACTTTTAATGGGTAAATTTATTGTGTTGCTTGAGCTATTTGCAGTTTCTGTGCCAGTCCCCAAGCAAATTGCTCAAATATTGTCGCATTAAATCGTCGCTGAGTGGCCGGCCTCCCCTCCTGCTTGGCGTCTGCCTCCCTCCCCCTCAACCGACTGGACATTCTATTTTTTGCAAACCACAATCAACGCAGACTAAATTAAATTTACCCGCACTAACGCGCATGTTTTTCCAGTTATTTGCACATGAATACAAAATGAATGAAGAAACCTTTGTCGAAACGTGTTTTGCATATGCAAATTCCCCAGAGAGCGCACACGATAAAACGCTGAATTTTCAGCCTATTGTTTAGCTTGGGCATCACGCAATGGCTCCCGTTATTATTTCTTTTGCAATTTACCGCAATTAAAGTCTACAGATATGTATCGCAAACTTAAAAAGTTCATAGTAAGGTAGAGAGAAATGAAAGCAAAAAAGATGGTTGCATCGGCCGGGAATCGAACCCGGGCCGCCCGCGTGGCAGGCGAGCATTCTACCACTGAACCACCGATGCTCTTATAATTATGCTGTCAAAATATGCAATCATTAAATTTGGTTATATTAAAATATGTTCTAGTGGGTCAAACATCAGGCCAAATATTAGTGAGATTGTTGAAGCTTAATGATATTAAAGAACATCTTTGCACAAATAAGTTGCATACAATCAAGGCTCTTAGTTCAGTTATATTAAAAAACATAAAAATAATATTTGATTACTGCAATGGCAATGGCGGCCATTGAAATAATGTTATATGTCTTTACAGAGTTGAGATTACATTTATTGTTTATTTTTACCCTTTTACGTTTCGAGAGATCGCCAAAAAAGAATTTTGCATCGGCCGGGAATCGAACCCGGGCCGCCCGCGTGGCAGGCGAGCATTCTACCACTGAACCACCGATGCTCTTGTAATTATGCCGTCAAAATATGCAATGATTAAACTTGGTTATATTAAAATTAAAATATGTTCCAGTGGGTCAAACATCAGGCCAAATATTAGTAGGATTGTCGAAGCTTAATGATATTAAAGAACATCTTTGCCAAAATAAGTTGCGTATAATCATGGCTCTTAATTTAGTTATATTAAAAAACATAAAAATAATATTTGATTACTGCAATGGCAATGGCGGCTATCGAAATAATGTTATACGTCTTACAGAGTTGAGATTCCATTTATTGTGTATTTTTATCCTTTTATGTTTCGAAAGATAGCCAAAAAAGAATTTTGCATCGGCCGGGAATCGAACCCGGGCCGCCCGCGTGGCAGGCGAGCATTCTACCACTGAACCACCGATGCTCTTATACTTCGACTGACAAAATAACCTAGTATTAAATATGGCTGTTTAAGATTTAGTATAAGTTCTAGTTCTTCAAATAACAAGCCATATATTGAGTCTCAAAAAAAGGCGAAAAGTATTGTTGTCTCTTCAGAATAAAACTATTATGAGTATATCTGTCCTTACAGTATATATCAACAAATTTACTTGAATTGTATGTTTTGTATGTATGTATATATATTTAGGCATTCTTTATACAAGCATTCACAATGCTCTGAAAATATAGCTAGATCACAAGAGCTAATTAGCTGTTATATATTCCCAACTTTTCAATAAAAATATTTACTTAAGTTAGGTAGACTTTTAATCTATATTCATATATAAAGCATATAAACCCCTATATTTGTAAGTTTACGAAAAAAATAATTTGCATCGGCCGGGAATCGAACCCGGGCCGCCCGCGTGGCAGGCGAGCATTCTACCACTGAACCACCGATGCTTTTGAAATAATTTGTTCATTTTCTAATTTGCCAAGTCTGCATCATAAGCTTGGCAAAATATTTTAAAAGAATAGCAAATATTGGCATTTTAACAATTTGTTGTGCTTATGAATGCCAAATAGAGTTCATAGACTACTCTCCCAGATTATCTTCAACTAGTTTTTGGCCCAAAAAAAGTATTTTGCATCGGCCGGGAATCGAACCCGGGCCGCCCGCGTGGCAGGCGAGCATTCTACCACTGAACCACCGATGCCTTGATGGTAAGATGCGCCCAAAACCTGCACAAAAATGCAGCTTTGTCTCTTCTCATCGACTCGTTGGTCGGGCAGTTGCTGCTACTGCTGCGACATTCCAGTTCCCCCCTTGAGCATTATCATGGTCGATAAGAAGTAGTTTCTATTTATAGCGCGGGTCTTTAGCCAGCCACACTCGCACACATCTATTAGCTGGATTTTGCGCACTCTTTGCAATTAACCTGCTTAATATTCAGTTGACATGCGCGTAGGTTAAACGTGCCTCTGAATGGAGCCCACGTATGTTTATTGATTCGGATTGCGGCTTAACATTTATTGGCTTAATTATGGCGGCATTTTGTCACCTTCTTTCGTGGAGGCTTTAAAGCTGTCCGCATGCGGATCTTCCAGTGGCAGCTGTAGATCCGGTTATACTTGATCATTGGCTAATTGCTTATCAGTAAAAACTGATTTGCAATGAGGATCCTGGCTAACCTTTAAAATACAGTGGCATCTGCATCCCCCCCCCTCTCCCCCTCTGTCTCGTTCCTTTAACTTGTTGTTAGCCTTGGCAGCTGCTTTTTAAGCGCCGTCTGTGCCTGACATTGGCCGCAACATTGCAACTTCTCTCTGTTTCTATACCCTGTGCGTATTGAAAATGTCTAACAAAGGGTATCTCGGTTTTGTATAGGGGGAGAAACCTACGATAAAGAATATTTGTATATTCTGGATTAGCATTAACAGCTGAGTCGATCTTGCCAAGTTCTTATATACATCTTCAGAAATGTTTGGATCTTAGATGTAATGTCTAGGTAGAGATCTTCAACTGGAGTATAAGTTACTGTATAAAAGATATTTATCTTTTTTGCATAGCTTCCGTTTCATCAAAGTTGATTTTTGACTTATGTAGATATACTATGAACTAGAGATCTTTAATATGATTTCTATAGCATACACATAGATTAGCTAAAAATATTTAACTTATTTTATCTCTGTGAGTGTGTATGTATGTATATTTCTATGTAAGTAAGTTTGGACAGGTGTACAGGGTATCTCCTAGTCGGGCCACACTTGCCTAGAGCACCCTCTTGTTTTGTTTTTTATGTTTTCCTCTGTTTTTGGCGACTTGGGTGTATTGTGCATTGCGGCCTAGACTTGTACTAGCCATTTATGGCTTCTGGCTTGGCTTTGTCTCCCTGCCGCTGCCGCTGCTGCTTCTTCTTTCTGCTCAACCGCTGCTGCGGTTAGCATTGAACAAGCGCGCGACAACTTTGTGTCGTGCATTCGCAAATTAACTAACAATACAAACTAAGCAAAAAGGTAAAAATAAAAACAAAAAAAAAAAAACAGCTAGAGACAAAGCGCGGAGATAAACGCGTTGCTGGTCAGCTGTTCCCCTCACGTTTGTCCCTGCCGAGTAGATAAAATTAAATTATGTTAATTATTTTTGTAAGGAAACTGGTATGTGCCTAGAATTTCTCAACAGCTGCTCTCTTAAATGCACTGTTGATTGGCTGCCTGGCAACATGTAGCTAGCAACATCAACTGCTTACTAAGCAAGCTGCATGTGACTTAAGAGCGACATTTCCATATTATGTGTGTGCGCAGCTCTCTTAAGCCTTTGGCTGATTAACTGCTTAGCAGCATGCTGCTATGATTTGCACTGCTTGCGTGCTGTGTTACTTTTTTATGCCGTTTGGTTTAAGTTTAAATATTTCAATTATTAAATGGATCGCATTTTAAAGTAAATAACTGTTGAATGTATATTGACAGAAACAATCGCATTTTTGGTTGCCTAACCTATTGCCATTTGCTGCTTGGTATATGAATTTTGAACTGCTTGCGCGTTCGCACCCTTACCAGTTAACTTTATAACTGTAAAGCTGCTTGTCAACATGCTGTTGCCAAATGTTTACACTGCTTGCGCGCGGGCAGCTGCTGATGTGGATCTGGCTGTTTGTGTTCGCTTTTTATTACAAGTTGTTTATTCAGGCAATTCGAATCTTTAAGCTATCAATTATTATTATTTAAACATCTAGATAAATATATAAATATCTTGCACATATTGTTCGCACACGCTACAATTAGTTTAACTGACGCTCAATTTGCCAGCATATCACTGCTTGCTATGCAGTTCACTTGCACTACTTGCGAGCCCAAACTACGTGAAGATCGCCTGGCAACATTGGTTTGCAACATATAACAGTGCTTGGCCATACGCTGCTACTTCTAGCCTGGGCCTTGCTTGTCCACTTGCACTGCTTGTATAGTCGTTTGACTTTGTTGCTGGAGTTTGTTGCTTGCCTATCAACATGCTGCAGGCACAAATCAGCACTGCTTGCGCTATGCAGTTGCCCCTTCATTAAAGTTCTCTTCTCCAGCTAGCATCAACAGGTGTTTATTTCTTCACTTACCTCTTTTTTATTTATCATTTTAATTTAGAGCTCTTCTAAAAACTCCGAAAACTGGTTTAACTAACATTTTATATGACATGTGGTTGGCTTTGTTTTTTTTTATTGCTGCGCTTCCTGCCTCAGGATGGATAGTTGGCAATTATTTTATTTACATCTTAATTATAAGACTTGAATATACAAATACAAAATATTTTTTTTCATAGCAGGCAGTGTAGAAAATGCTTTTTAACAAAATTTTTATTGTTAGTTTAAAAAACCGTTTTGATATTTTTTTTATTTATTTCGTATTTATTTGAAAGAATGGAATTTGGGCATTTTATAAAAAGACTTTTTAGATGGTACAAACCGAAATCGGACGCTAGCAACAGCAAAAGTATCCGTGAGTTTTGAACAAATGTGTTGTTGGGGCTTTCCTCTGAGTTCAGCGTGTACAAGAAGAAGAATTTCCAATACTTAACTTAATAATATTAATAGATAACAGCTTTGATTTAAAATCCAAAGTTATATTTTAGTCAGTTATATTCGAGTTAATTGAAGTTATTAGTTGAGCCGAAAGTTTTGGAATAATATATCTGAAGTATCTGGTCTCAAATGAATAATGTACATCTATAAATGCAGCTTAAGTTGCCCTCACTTATTTTCCCATTTGATCATGTTTCTATCTTCCACCGTTTTATTTATTATTTTTATTATTTATCGTGTGTAATATATTTGTGCGAATGTATGTAACAGGCAGAAGGATGCATCTCCGATCCCATAAAATATATACATATATTCTTGATCAAGCTGTCTCTCAGAAACCTGTGAGCTTCAAATTTTGAACGTGTTTCCTTCCATTGCCCGCGCAGTACGAGTTGCTTTCCGATAATCGATAACTTGGCCCGTTGCCAAGCAATCGATAAATGAACTGATTTTTGACTCGTACAAATTTGTAGTTCATTTTATTTCAACTTTAATTTTTCTTCTCAAATTAAACCTATTATTTCTCTCTCATTCATTCACTCTCCATCTCTTTCTCGTTGCAGAAAAACGCTCGCAAAGCAACATTGGGGCAACACCAACACCAGCAACAACAACAACAACAACAAAAACACCATCAACTGCAACAACAACCACAACAACTACAATCGCCACGCCCACTGGCAACAAAGGCGTAAAGACATCGCCACAAAAGGCCGTCAAAAATGCTGCAGGAAATGCGGTTATTAAAAATTTAAATGCCACAAAAACTTTGCCCGCGGGCATTCCAGAAGGTAAGTCTGAGAAGAGTATATCATTTTATATATATATATATATATATTTATATAGTTATTAAATTAACAACAATAAAATTGAGTTCAATTGTTTGCCTGACTTTTGTGAAAGCATCGCAAATGCGCGCGCCCAAAAACCAATTTTGTGCGATTTTTTGGGCCATGTTTCGACTTTTGTTTGACAATTGGTTACGCGATCTTGCAACAACAACAACAACAACAACAACAACAACAAGATTTGCCACATTTTAAGCACATAGCTGAAAACTTTGCCACCACACAAATTGTGCTCCTGGGCTCATTTTGTTGCCTGGCAAAAGTTTTTTTTTTTTCTTGACTTGACGCAAGTTTTCTAATTAATATTAATGCCTTTAATTAGCCTGTGTGGCAACTTATAGCTACTTGCCACGCTTGTGGCATGCCACAAATGTGCACCTTCGAATTAATGGTTTCTGAGAGTTGATTTTTAATTCTTTTTTACCTTGTCGCGCCAAGACACCTGTTTCGAGTGCCAAACGCCTTTCAGTGGCAAATTTTGCACACAATGGAGGTGTGCGAGTGTGTGTGTGCGAGTGTGTGTGTGTGTGCGAGTGTGTGTGTGTGTGTGTGTGCGTTAAAAGCCAAATATTTGTTGTGTATTTATTGAACTTTCAAACAAACATCAACTTTTTGCTGGCTGCAAGCATGAACAAGAAAGCGTCGCAGTTCAAAAATTGTTCTCTTACTTTGCAAAAGAATGAATTTTGTTTATTATATTTACATATTTATTTATGATATTTATATTTATAGATATTTATGAAAAAATGATGGCATAATATATTTTAATTGTATGTATTTATTAGAACAAAAAATTGGTTCGATTCAGTTTCAGTTTTTGCTGGACAACTGGTTTTTGTTTCAATGTTGGACTCGTTATAAACATTATAATTGGATATTTTATTTAGCTACAATTATGTTTTGTCGATTTCTCAATTAAATTTGCATTCGTACTTTTAAATATATTATTTATATTTATTCTTTTAATACAAATATATTTTGATTTTATTTTTAATTAAATGTTCTCTAAGCAATTCTAAGGTATCTTACCTTAATTATACCCTTGTGACGGAAATTATACGTTGGTCATGAAATGTGTAAAGCTTAGAAGGAGATAAATATCTCCGACCCCATTAAATATATACATATATATATTCTAGATCAGCAACAACAGCCGAGCCTGTCCGTCTCTCCGTCCCTCCGTTCCTATGCCTAAAATAGATTTTCATCAAACTCAGCTTTGACGAGCTGTAAGGCAAATGTCTGTCTTCAAGGTAGCTAATTTAAAGATTTCCTAGCTTCTTCATAAAATGTATATAAAATATATATTTTTTTTTAAATTTAAATATTGGCTTTGAAGTCTAAAGTGAAACACATTTACTAAACCTTTACTTCTACAAAGTTTTAACTGTCACAAGCAACATCGAAAACCTTTGCTTCTCTTGCTGAAATCATTTTCAAATGTTTTCAATAAAGTCTACTTTTGAATTACTTTGAATTCTTCGCTTGCCCAACTCGGCCGCAGTAAGCACAAAATTCATGTGTTTTTTTGTTTGCCTCCTGCCTGTGCGAATGCCGCTGGCTGGCCAAGTGCTCGGCATGTTCTACATAATGGCCCAAAAGCGTTGCAGCGCACAGCACTTGACAGCCCACTTCTACTCGCCCCGCAGCCTGCACCCCCCCCTCCCCTCCCTCACACCATGATTGCCTACACACAAGTGTCACAAATTTTGTTTAAGCCACAAACACATTGCACGTTTTGCTGCGCGCGGCTCTTTGATGTTCAGCGAGTTGTGCGCCTCATAATATATAACGGGAGGGGTAAGGGGAGCGGGTTGTGCCGCGTTGGCGTGTGCCACAAATACGCCCTCATCCAGCCTGCGCAGCCCGTTTCCCCCCCCCAAAACACCGGCTGCTTAGCACTACTTGTGCCATGTTTGGCTTATTGAAGTTAAATTGTTTGCTTAATGTTTCGCGTTGACTTTAGCCGGTACACACAACCCGCAGGGGCCCAACCGGGCTTAGCCAGTGCAGCAACCCAGCCAGCCACTCACATGAGCGAAACAGCTCTTAACCTTAAACTAATATAATAATTTGTTAAACTTATGAAAACGTTTCTTAATTTCATTTCACCTGGTACATAGAATATATAGAATATAGTGTTAGTTAATGCATTTTTATGGGATATTAAGGAAATTTATAATTCTTAATTATACCATAATTCTTTGAACAAACACATTTCTGTTTTGATATTAATGTAAAGCATATTGCGTAAGTTTTCAAATTCTCTTTTAACCTTGGGCATGACGACAATGTGCTGTAAATACAAGAAGATAGGAAAGAGTGTTGCATAAGGGTTATATATGGGATATTAGAAAACTCTTTCTACCACGCTCAATATTATGCTTAGAAAAAAATACATAAATATAATTTTTTTTTGTGTTTATCAGGCGCACTTTGAATAAGTTCTAATATTTTGATTTAACGTTCAAAATGGTAACAATGTGCGGTTAAAACAAGAAGAAGATAGGAAAGAGTGTTGATAAAGGGATTTATTTGGGATATTCCTTACCATACCTCTAGGAGAGTGTTGCATAAGGGATAAATATATTGTATATTTGGATATATTTGGATATTTCTCCACACTCCATTTTATTTTTAGATAAAAATGTATACATAAAATTTTCTATTGAATTGTTGTTCTTTTTTTTTTTTAACTTTTCTTTACCATTCAAAATGACAACAATGTGCAGTGGAAACATGTTTATATTACGATAACCATTTTTGCAACACACAATTATCGATTGGTTGCGATAGTTTACACAAAATTTGCAAATGAGCCAACAAATTATTTCCCCCACAAATCGTTTTTCAATTGCGACTGGCAAATTGCCAAGCAATTTGAAATTTTATGAATATGAATATGAATATGCCCAGCAATGTGCTGTCATTTCCGATGAAGACGACGACGATAACGATAACGATGACGATGACGATGACGATAACGATTAGAGTCTTTGAGCGGGCTGTTACGCATGGCGGGCAGAAGCGAAAAAGTAAAATTGAATGAAAAATGAAAATGCTGAAAGGTGCGTGTTGGCGGTTTCTTTTATTCGACGGTCATTAACTTCTACCCACTCTTCATTTTTTCGCAACTGATGAGCTTGAGTTTTCTTTGGGGCTGTGGGGCTGTGCTGGGCTGGGCTTGGGGGCCTCTAAACTGCTCCATTTGGGCGGGACAAATGTTTTGACACAACATTCATCAATTAATCGAATGAAAGCGTGAAAAATGGCCATAAAACATGATAGAGAGACACAAGCGAAATCAATGAACTTGGGTGCGTGTAAGTTGATGTTTGTTTGGGCTATAAATTCAGAGTGAAAATTAGATAAAATTTAGAGGCGTGCCACACACACTCGAACACACACACACACGCCAGTTAACCAAGCAAAAAGAGTTGGCGTGTTCATGATTTTTCTTTTTCATTTTTATTTGTAACACAATCAAATTAAGTGACAAATTAATTGAGTGCGCATCGCTTTGAGCGTGAAAGCCATAAATAACAATTGACATTGACGATGCGAACAACTTTTTGGCGGTGGCCCTTATCGCCAGGAAGATAGCTTGGCGAGATGTGGGAAGTTGAGTTGACGTTTTTACTTAAGAAATTATAAAATAATAATATTTAATAATATATATTGAAAAATAAATACAAAATATATATATATGTATAAAAGGAGACATTAAAAAAGAAATATGCGAATCTTTTAGAAAAATAAATAAAAGATAATAAAAAAGTATTCAATATGAAAAAATTACATTTAAATATATACGATATATGTTAAAAAATATATTAAAAAAAAAATATATATATTTTTATATCTATCAATAAGCTATGTAAAATCATTGTATAATTTAAAAAATCTTCTATCTTCTATATTGTTTATTTTGTGCACATTTTTTCACATGTTCTTTGTGCTCCTTATCGAGTGTTTACTGTCATTTGCTGTGCACCCAATTGAAAAATGAGTTTATGTCAAAAAACAAAAAAAATCATGTTGTAAGCCCTTTCGTCAACGTTCTCATAAGTGTGTCGCCAAAAGCAACAGGTGTAAACGGCAATTAAACGATTTACACATGAATTAATACTCGTAATAATATTGCATTGAGTATATGAGTTTTTGTTTTTTTTTTTTTTTTGCAATTTGGCTGCTTTGGCTTATTGCGTTGTGTGCCATATGTATAAATATAAGAAACTGAAATATCAGCAAAAATATTTCACAAGCTTAATTGGCATGGCAAATAAGAAGAAGAAGAAGAAGTGGTAGTAGGAAAATAAAAACATGCAGAAGATATTTTTTTTCTCTCATTTGCACAACAACAAAAAACAAACTTTGCGACTTAAGTAAGCCAAAAAGCCAAAGCCCAAAACCAAACCCAAACTCGAAGCCAAAAGTCGATTGCATAAATTGCTTAGCATAGCCAAGAGGGGGCAGCGAGGGGAGTGGGGGGGGGGGGGTGTGCTGGGCAGAGAGGTGGTTTTTTCTCTTTGTGTAATTCAATTTTTGAATATATTTAAGGGCAGCGTGAGAACCGCTTTTAGAAGGCAATCATTTTTTAAAATTTTTGCAGGTGGGAAAATTGCAAGGCAAGTTTTAGGTACGCAATCGGCGTGCGGCAGCTGCCACAGCGGGTGGCGCCACCATTTCGGGCCGCCGTTCAAGCCAACTATTGTCAGATCTTATATAAATGCTCTGCTCTGGTTCCTGGGTAAAAAAACATTCAATTGGCAATCACATGCGAATATGCATAGTTTTTTTTTTTTTAGCTCTGATATCCGGCACGCTATTCGTGTGCCCGACATTTGTATACTCTGCGGAAAGGGTATTACGAGCTGCTTAGACAGTTTGTCTTAGGGCGTGGCTTTAATTGAGTTGGAAATGGATTAATATAATTGCATTTGAGAAATCAATAATATATTTCTCTTTGTTTCCGTTTAACTAATTTAATTTCCTTCTGGTATCTCTCCTCCATGCTCTGTTTATTTGTATACCCTGAACCCATTGAAAATGGGTAAAGAGGGTATTATGTATTTGTGCAAGTGTATGTAACAGGCAGAAGGAAGCATCTCCGACCCCATAAAGTATATATATTCTTGATCAGCATCAATAGCCGAGTCGATCTAGCCATGTCCGTCCGTCTGTCTGTCCGTCCGTCCGTCCGTCCGTCCGTCTGTCCGTCTGTCCGTGTGTATGAACGCAAGGATCTCAGAACCTATAAGAGCTAGAGACTTGAAATTTGGAACGTAGGTCGTCCCAGTATGAGTTTCTTTCCGATATTCGGTAACTTGCCCCGTCTCCAAGTAATCGATATAAATCGATATCGAAATCCGGTTTTTTTTAGCAATTTTGGTAAATAATAAGAGCTAGAGTCACCAAACTTGACATGTAGCTCCTAAATTAGTATATATATATATATCAAGTATCTTTCATTTAATAGCTATCGCCTGTCGGAAGAAGAGAGTTCAGGGTATCCCCTAGTCGGGAGGTATCCGACTAGAACCTGTTACTTGTTAAAAATTATCTCTCTTCATTTTCACATATTTTTATTATTATCTGCGCGCGTCTTCATTTTGATCCTCTAACTTTTACCATTGTTCGAGCCTTTCACTCCTCCATGGTCACATTATTTTGATGCTATTTTCCACACATATTCGAAATTTGTGCTCATTTAAAAAAGCGCAAAATTTTTCGTTTGTTTTCTGAGAAGTTCGTAGAAGGCTTTTATAAATATTAAAAAGATAATAACAAAAATATTCCCATGTCATTTCCATGGTCACATTATTTTGAAACTATCATATCACAAAATTGAGTTAGCTTTAAAACAAAGGACAGCTAAATGTATATATCTCTGATTAATATAAATCAGTTCCCTATTAATCTTAAAGGGCATTTCTTATTCGTTTCACTTGAATTAACTTTCCCTTCGTACAAATATTTCTTTTATTATTTCTGGTACTTGTGCAATAATTTTTTAATCAATTTCGAAGCACATAATTAATGAATTTGCGCTCATTTTTTTGAGGTTTATTATTTATTTATATTATCTAATTTTTTTTTTTTTGGCAATTTCGTGATCAATTTTGGTTTACACAGGAAAAAACAAATTGGGGTCAGTTGGTTTTTGGAGCCCATTCTATTGTTCACAGAGAAGAGAGCGCAATTGCAATGAAAGCGTTTTCCTCTCTTTTGGCTATTTGGCTATTTAACTTGGCTCAAACTTGGTGGCATCTCTAACTGGAGCGTGGCTTTCAATGTGCAGCACAAGATTTGATTTTTTTACGATCTTTTCTTCTAATGTTATTCAATTTTGTTTTACTTCTTTTTTTTTTTGTTGCATGCTCGCGGGCTCGTGCCAGTCAATGGCCACGCCAAAAACTGATGGCCTTCGCTTGCCTACCGCCCCCCTCTCTCTCTCTCTCTCTCTCTCTCTCTCTTTCCCTCTCGCTCTCTCTGTTTCTCTCCTTTGCTGCTGGCCAAGTGTGACGCGAAAGTCACGGCGGCGACTTTACGAAATGACAAAGTCTACAATTACAGCCAACCTTTCTTTCCATATAAACCAAAAACCGAAAACCAACAAGTAAGAGTGTTGTGCTCGTGAGTGCCCGACTAGGAGACACCCTGTGATCAGCACTAAGAGTTAGCGCTTCAAGAAAAAGTGGGTTGTAGAGGTGCAAAAAGTGAAATATTTAAGATCTGCGTTTGGCATAAGATTAGCTACATACCAAAATTTTGAGTCTCAAGCTCTTAAATTTCCCAATATTTGCTTTAAAAATCCTGTTTTTAATTCGATAGTAATCGATACAAAATATAAAAAAGCGCCCTTTAAGTTCGATATTTATTGATCTTTTTCGATGTTTAACGGTAATTAAATATAGTAAAATCGAGATTTAAAATTAGATTATTTAATTTATGTTTAGGTTTTAAGCGAGTTGCTTTTTTCTTGATACGCCTTTGATATTTATCGATAATAATTGGATATAAAATTATATTTTTCAATAGAAATGGAAGCTATTGAGATTATAAATCAGATAAATAGGCCTTTTTTTTTGTGTCTAGCTTTTATAAACGAGATCGACGCATCCATATGTGATTAAGTCAGCCTGTTTTTAACTCGATATTTATCGATATTTGTCTTTAAATATTATAGAAAAAATTGACGCTTATGCACATATGCGCTTAAGAACCCTTATTAAATTCCTTGTATCGAAATTATAATGATATTTTTCGATACAAATAATCGAAATACAAATTCTCGCCTTTTAATGTTGATCCAGAATCTATATAGATCAGTGGAATGCAGATGCTTTCTTCTGTCAGTTACATAAATTTGCACACAACTAATATACCCCTCTTTACTCACTTTCAATGGGTACAGGGTATATGAATGCAAAAAAAAAAAAAGCCCAACAACCAGCGAAAGGGGGAAATGGCAAAAGCACTTTGGTTTTTTCTTCCATTTTGTTGTTATTTTTTTGTTTTTTGCGAGCCAAGTGAAAATCATGATTAAAACAATATCTATGCGTATATCTATACTCGTACAGTTATGCTAATTTCTCATTTGCCATTTGCCATTAAATTCTGCCTCGAACACAATTTAATTGTGGATCGTTTGTTGCTCGCTTAATTTCAATGCATCTTTTCGTAAACTTTGCTGTAGAAATTAAAACAAAATTATGTTTGACCTTAATGGGGAAGAGAACTCTTTTGTAAGAAATTTCTCAATGTGCTCATCTTTTACTTTTTTAATCGCAGTCAAAAATTAAAGAGTATTTCCATATAAACAATACATTTTTAGAATTTAGATAAAAAATCTAATGAATTTTCTTTGAATTTTTATTTTAATTCTGTAGAATTGGAAAAACAAAGTGTTTTTTTTTTGGTTATGAATTTGTCTTAAATCCGTTTTGGCCAGGTCTATCATATTTCTGGTATTGTGAAAGAGAAATATAGAGGATGTTTTCGTAAATATATACACATATCGGGGAATTTATTTTTATAAGACGTGTTTTATAGCCGAAGGCCTAATTCCGAATTTGAGAAAAAAATTCTTATTATTTTGATAATCTTAAGAGATCGCGCCGCTCGGGATGCTGCCTGCTCGCTTTTCTGAGCCCCTCCTACATTCTTATGATTATATTATCGTTTCATATCTTTTTTTTTAAGTTCCTACAAGCTTTAAGCCAAGCTTATCCATGAGCTTTTGATCCTATATTAAATCTGACTGCTCCATTATTTCTTATATATGTTTCAGTCTCAAGTTCATTCAATCTTTAAGCATTCCCCTTAGGTTTTAAACCAAGCTTCTCTGTGAGCTCCTAAGCTTTGATTCTTCTATTCTTATATATATCTCATTCTGAAGTTCGTTCAAAGTTTAAGCCAAGCGTCTCCATTAACATTCAAGCTTTAAGCCAAGCTTACGCATAAGCTCTTAAGCTTATATTGAATCTACGTGATCAATTTTTCCTCTGTTTAATTCGTTCTTAACAACGTTCAAGCTTTAAGTTTTTTCCGTGAGCTTTAACGCATTTATAGAAGCTTACTGATCCATTCTCAACTATATTTAAATCCAAATTATCTTAACATATCCACGCGCTTTAAGCTTAAAGTCTTACCTTAATTATTATTAATTATAATTATATTCATTTATTTAAATGGTTATTTAATCTTAATTCTTCTAATTTACTTAACTTAATTCGCGCTTTATATTTCCGACTTTGTTCGCATTTCCCATTTTGATTAATAACTTTTGCCACTTTGGCTTAGTCTTTGTCTTTGTCTCAAAATAATTTGTCTAAGTTTTTTTTTTTTTTTGCACAGTTACAATTAAATTCATTTCCCCACCTACTTTTCCTCATAGCAGCACTCACAATTTTTTTTTTAATGTATTTGTTTGCTTCGCTATTTTTGTTGTTGTTTTTTTTTGCATTTCTCTTTACATAAGCTTTGAAGTTGTGTTTTTTTTCTGCTATTTTTTGTTGCTGTACGTTTTGTGCTTTGCCGCCGCCGCCGTTGACTTTGGCGTCGCGCGCCTGTGGCTTGAAGTTAGTCGCGCGTCGCGCTTTCAAACAAACAGACGTTGCGCGGGGCCTTTTCTTGTGGAGCGAGAAGTTGAGCGAGCGAGCAGATAAGTGCGTGCGTGCGTGCGTGCGTTTCAGTGTGGGAGTTAGTGAGTGCGAGCGAGCGACTGTTGCGCTGCGCTGTGTATAACACTTAATGGACTACAGTTTGACAGTCATTTGTTGTTTGTTTTTGTTCTACGTTCTGAACTGCGCCTGCGTCTGCTCTCAATAAAATAGAAATAAAAATAAAAATGGGCCTCAACGAGTTTGTCTCTCTGTTCTACGGCTCCGCACAGAACTTGCACGTCAACGGCGACGGCAGCAGCAGCAGCAGCAGCAAATCGGCGTCGACGTCGACGTATTCATTGCCAACGGCCGCGGATGTCAAAGAGTTTCGTCAAATGTTAAAAAATCATAAAAATAATGTTCAGGCAAAGAAATACAGTTACAAGGATTATCCCAATGATATGAAATACGGTAAAAATCTGAATGCGTCGCAAATCTATGCAACGCAGCCGGCGACAGCTGCCAAAAAGCTGCTCAACACCAGCACCAACAACAACAACAACAACAACAGCCACAGCCACAGCCACAGCCACAGCAACAACAACCACAACAACAAAGCTGGCAAAGCGCCGCCCGCCACAAGGATACCAACAAAACTAGCCGCAGCGGCAGCTGCAACATGCAGCAGCAGCAGCAGCGGCGGCGGTAGCGGCGGCAGCCAAATGGACGTGCAACGCGGCAAACACAAATCCGCAACATCCGCGAGCTCCTTTCTGTGGAATTCCTTTCGCCTGCCACGCAGGCAGAAGGCAGCGTCCACGGCAGATAAAAAACGCGCAGCCGGTGAGTGACAACAACAAAAAAACAAAAAAAAGCTAAAGGGTGATCTGTGAAAAAATCAATTGCGCGAATTTGAGATACCCTGTAGAAATGAAATTTAGGCTAACAGCTGCAAAGTTGTTGCGATTTGCGTTTGTGCTTCGCTTACATTCAGCAGTTAACGACTACGCGATACCCTGTATACAGTTTTAAAGGGTTTTTAATTAAAGATATACATATATTATCTTTGAAGATAATATTAAAAAAAATACTAGATACTAGATAATAGATGTATAGTACTAGATAGAGATACTAGATCCAGATACAAGATTCTAGATACTAGATACTGGATACCAGATACTAGATACTACTTAATCCTAAATACTAGGTACTAGGTACTAGGTACTAGGTACTAGGTACTAGGTACTAGGTACTAGGTACTAGGTACTAGGTACTAGGTACTAGGTACTAGGTACTAGGTACTAGGTACTAGGTACTAGGTACTAGGTACTAGGTACTAGGTACTAGGTACTAGGTACTAGGTACTAAGTACTAGTTATTTAGGCAGGCAACGACTGGTAGATACCCCGTGCCAGGTATACGACTAGAAAATACCCTTGACTTGTTTCTACAGTGTCTGCTAGACCATAGTGTATGCACTTACGCTATTTCTAAAGGGCATCATGCGAATATTTAAACATCAGGGAAAAAGAGATAAACCTTATATACGAAATATGAGACGTCTGTGCTTCTTCTATCTTCTAAGCAAACATCTCCTTTTGGAGGACAAAAAACTGAACATTCGTTATAGTTACTTTGATATTTGTATATCAAAGTAATAATTGATCTCCATCGTACACTTAATTTTGATAGAACTGTAGATCACACATACCAATTTTCCCAGTTCTAACTCTTGTAGTTCCAGAGATTGGGGAGATTAAATGACTTAAATGTATTTATATTCCTCATACGAATCAAAAATGGCTTAAAATCAAAAAGAAAAATATCATTTGTGCTTTCTATTGTTTTGTGTTCTTTGGCTTACAGGGTATAACAAGCTGCAACTAATTGTTAATGCCCAGCATATTATCTGTCTGGCTACATCTTTCGGTCTGACCCATTTCCGTCTTCATTCGCTCCACGAGCCGCGAACAATGCCAATTGTGAGCTGTGTGGCCCGCGGCCATTTGGCTAACAAGCGCTTAACAAGAGTTAAGATCTGGCTAAAGTAAGCCAATAAACTACATAAGACATGGGGAAAAAAAACAAGAGCCATGGCTAACGGCAACCCACCTGCAAAATTCTAACTGCTTAGCGGTTATCTAATAGCTGGAACATCAAATTTAATGTGTTATATAAGGTTACACGTTTCTGTCTCTCTCTCTCGAGCATTACGACAATTTCCTGTCTTCAAACGAGCCGTCAAATTGTTGTCTACCCGAATTATATTTTTTTTCACCTCGGCGCAATTAGAACTCAAGATCCCCCCCCCCCCTCTCTCTCTCTCTCTCTCTCTCTCTCTCTCTCCCCGCCTTTCAAGAACCCCTACGAGAGCCCACAACTCGAACTCATTATTTTCTTGTCTACGTTTTGCTGTCTATATTCGCTTTTTGGCGCGTTGCAAATCCGATTGTTTGTGCCTTTTTTTCAGTTTTTTTTCACCACTAAATGGAATAGAAATAGAAAAAACTCTATTTCTATATAATTTTTATTATTAGGTTTTTTTGATAGTCAATTGTGTTTGTTTTTTGCTCTAGAAGCAAATCCCATAAAATCACACGAGTTTTAGATAAAATGAGAACGTACGGATGTCTGCGGCACGTCGAAGATCTAATACTCTTGCAAGCGTTTGTCTTACTGCTTTCCAGATATGTGAGATTAGTTAAGCTCGTAAATGCCGAGTTTGATGAAAATATCTTGACAAACAGACCGATTCCTCCGCCAGTTCCGACATACATATGAACTCCATTTAAATTCCACATATCTCGATAAACAAATCTTAATCCCTCTTAACTTTAGCCCATTATTTGCTGTACTAAGGACTTTTTATATATATGTATGTAGATTTACATTTTCTTTTTATCAAATATATTGACCTATAGATCATGTAGGCTAAAAATGGGAAGAATTTAATTTTCCGAAATGTTTTTTACATATTTCTGAGTTGATATTCAGCAGCTTGCTGATGTTTTGGATAATCTGCGCATGTACGCATTTGTAGGCGCAACAAGAAAAACAAACAACCTATTTACCGCCCATAACGCCCACAATAACGGGGCATCTGCTGCCCGGCGCCAGCGAGTGGACCATTATTGATTTTTACAACACAAGAGATACTCAAAAAAAGAAAAGGAAATACACGCAAAAGCAAACTTTGAAGAAGAAGCACAGCGGCGGCATGCCTACAAGTGCGCTTACAATGTGACGCATGTGGTTAGAATTGTTGCTAAGCTCTGCACCCTGCGCCCTGCGACCGCACACTCCCAACCCCCGCCTCAAGACAAGTCAGCGATGAGTCATCTTCGCAGGCGACTACCCCAACTGTGGCCAGTCACAATAATAACAAACTGTACGAAAAGCGTAAGAAGAAGAAGCAGTAAGAGGCACTTGCTCCCTGCTCTCTCAGCAGCAGCAGCACACAGTCACTTTCTCTCTCGCTTTCGCGACTGCGACGGCAGTCAGCATAAAAATTGCATAATGTGCTTTTTGCATGTGTAACTACGTTGTGCGTGTGTGTGCGTGTGTGACACACTGACACTTATTGTTCACTGAGCGCATTTGACAGCTGAGAGAGAGAGAGGAAAAGAGAGCGCGCGCATAGAACATGCGCATGTTATCAATGGCTGTGCAACTGTTATACAGTGTACGCTGCTTGTTTACAGTGCTGCACAAACTTGGAAGTGAGCTTTGTTTTGGACTTCAACAAACTGCAAATGACCATTTTGTTAGGGTATTTGCTAGTCGTGCAGGCCACACATGCTTTTTTAAGGCTTGTGTCATGTCTGAAGTGCTCTGAAGTGTGTTTTGCTTTTAAAATTGCCCAAAATTGAAAGCCCATCAAATCGATTAATTAATAAAGCAAAATAAAAATTTATAATGAAATGCATAATTAAATTGGCGCGCTGCGTTAATTAACGGTACAGGCGCGGAATTAACAAACTGTGACCGCATGCTGTGGCGCCTCCAGCCAGTCGGCCAGCCAGTCGGCCGCTAATGGAGTCAAGTGCAGGCGACGTAACGGCCAATGTGGCTAATGGCTAATGCCGCGTGGCAGCCCCCCTCCCTGCTCATACGCTGTGCGGCAAAGCGCAACAAATTGTTGCACTCGGCTGCAGTGGCTGCCACAGCAGCAGCAGCAGCAGCAGCTATGAATTGATTGATAACCGCCTTTCAGTCTCGAGTTGCTGCCTTTCTTCTTCTGCTTCTTCTCATTTTGGCTAGCAGCCAATTGGCCAAAGTGCCGGTTGCCAGTTGCCGGCTTTTGGCCTGCATACGGTACATGTTTATGCATACACGGGGCGTATGCGCAATTTGCATGCGAAGGCGCGAGCTACGCAAATTGCTTTTAAATGCTGAGCTGATGGCACATTTTTCACCATGGCTTCTTATTAGTTGTTGTTATTTGTTGTTGTTATTAGTTGTTGTTAGTTGTTGTTGTTAGTTGTTGTAGTTAGTTTTTGCTGGTTGTTTTCAGTTGTTGCTTTCATTTGTTGTTGTTGTCTGTTGTTGCTCGTGTGCCATTTGCATTGAACTTGTTCATTTATCGCATTACACGCAGTTCTTTCGCCCCTTCCTCCTCCCCTTCCCTTCCCTTCCCTTCCCCATCCCATTCGCCCTGCCACCCCACCCTCGCCCTTCACCCATTGTGCAAGTCATTGCCAGCCAGCGATTTTTTGCCAGGCCATAATTAAGGTCGTGTGCCTGTTAAACTGTGCAACAAAAGAAAGGAGTGTGCCACATTGTGCTGCTCTGCGTGTGGCATATGCAAGCTCTTAATCGATTTTAGTGATTGTCCGAGATTTTTGCCAAGTGCGACAAATTAAGGCGTCATATTTCATATCCCAATACACGAGCTGCATAAAATGTAATTCGAGTTTGACTTAAGTAGGTTGTTTTTATACCCTGAACCCATTAAAAATGGGTAAACAGGGTATAATGTATTTGTGCAAAGGTATGTAACAGGCAGAAGGAAGCATCTCCGACCCCATAAAGTGTATCAGCATCAATAGCCGAGTCGATCTAGCCATGTCCGTCCGTCTGTCTGTCCGTCTGTCCGTCCGTCTGTCCGTCCGTCCGTGTGTCCGTATGTATGAACGCAAGGATCTCAGAACCTATAAAAGCTAGAGACTTGAAATTTTTAGGTCCTCCTAGTCCCCACGCAGATCGAGTTTGTTTCCGATATTCGATAACTTGCCCCGTTTCCAACTAATCGATAAATATCGATATCGAACAACTTCGGCAAATAATATGAGCTAGAGTCACCAAAATATAGCTTCTAGTATATAGTATAGATATATCAAGTATTTATCATTTTATACCAATCGCCTGTCGGAAGAAAAACCTCTTGTTTAATTAATACATACTATTAAAATGTGTATATGATCTATTAATGTTGCTTTTTAGCTCGAGCTAAAGCTATTTTTATATATAGTTATATACCATTTTCCATGCTCCTTATCCTTATCCCAATCTTATCAACATGGGATTTCTTTCTTATATAGCTACAATAGAATCGGTTTAAAATTAAAATGCAATTAAAATTATAATTTTAATTATAGTAAAAATTATAAAATATCGTATTAAAAATTATAATTTTATAATTTTTTTTAAAATTATATTTAAAATTTTCCCTATTTATTATGTTAATTAATAACATTTTAATTTATAAACGTTAACAACTTTAACTTTATATAGTTTAATTATAATTTAAATATAGTGCAATGATATTATATTTTTTAAATTCAATTATAATTATATTTAAATTTATAGGCCCGCGAATTGTTGTGCATTTGCTGGAATATTTA